ACCCACCAGCCACTCCTTGGAAGGAAGGTTGGGCAATCCTACTTCCGTAGTGATACTGCCTCGGAAACCCAAGGAGGGGTCGCTGTGAGTCGGGGCCGACCCGACCGCATGTAACAACAACAACACAAGAGATGCCAAAGTACACATAAAGCATGAAAAGGAGATAATAGCCCTGGCATCTTTTAACAATTATTGCTGTTACTTTCTTTTACAGTAAATACACCTTTTCCCTTCTTCCAAGTTTTATTCAAAAAAAAAAATATTGTAAGAGGTCCATGAAGAGCAATCATCATCATTACAATAAAGTATTCAATTGAACAGAAATGACAAGGACCCAATTCAATAGGTAATGTCCTAGTTCCTCACTGCACAAGTTAAAACAGTCAAAGCTTTCTCAGTGGGAATGATCAGGACAGCTTTTACCCTGAAATGGTATCCAAAATGAGCTCTAAAATCCCTGATTTTGTCTTCTATTTATCCTTTTCTTTCTGTTCTTTTTCTTTCTTCTCACGCTCGGCTTTAGCCTCTTCTTCTTCATGTTTTTTGATCAATTGTTCCACTTCCTTTTGTTTGAGGACTCTAATTAGTGTCTTTCCATTCTCTCTTGTTAGGGTGGCAATTTCCACTAGAATAAACACATATATGTGTATTACAAGCAGGCATAATTAGCAAACAAACTTAATAGGCAATCATAATTTAATCTCTTCATATCATTTTGGTTTTAGTCACAATACTCTTCTTTGTTTGACACATATTACAATTTATGGATACTCTTATGGGAAAAAAGTATCTTTGATCTTGTAATGTTTTGATTACCATCTCTAGTTTACTATCTTGCCTCTCTCGGCCCATCCCAACTTTCTTAGCAGCTGTTTTGTCACTTTCTTGGAAAAAAGAGCCCTGTTGTGCAGTGGTTAAACACTTGCCTGCTAACTGAAAGGTTGGTGGTTTGAACCCACCACCTGCTCTGTGGAAGAAAGAAGTTAGTCTGCTTCCATAAGATCACAGCCTTGGAAACCCTACTGGGCAGTTTTAGTCAGTCCTATAGGAGGGAGCTCTGGTATCATAGTGGCTAAGGCACTTGACTGCTCACCAGATGGCTGGCAGTTCAAACCCATCAGGCACTCCTCGGAAGGAAGGTTGGGCAATCCTACTTCCATAGTGATACGGCCTCAGAAACCCAAGGAGGGGTCGCTATGAGTCAGGGCTGACTGGACGGCACATAACAACAACAACATAGGTTGCTTTGAATTGGAATAGACTTGACGGCAATGGGTTTGGTTTAGAGGAAGTATAATCAGTCAATTGCTCTAGCTGGCCTGCTGTTAGCTGTTGATCAGAGGAAACCACAATTTCCTTGTTGGAATCTCCAAAGGCTTCAACCAATAATAGCACTTATTTTTCAAGGACTTTTTAAAATTCCTTTTCAAAACATAGGTATGAAAAGCAGCTTCCATTACTACAGACAAGTGGACTGATACCTGAAGGGGAAACAATTTTTGTGCAGTGAATACACTGAGTAGTACTTCCTACCAGGAATTAAATGATTTTACATTAAACACAATTTTTGAAAAATCTTAGCAATATGAATGTTTTATATATACTTATATATATATAATTTGTGTATATTTAGGTGCAGTGTAATAAATTACTTACTATGGCTTTTCTACCCATAAGTCATTGTAAACTCAGTGGTGGAATGAGCAACTGAGGAGCTGATTGTAAATGTTATCCAAGTGGAGTATTTCTGTTGGGCGTGGCACAATATAAGGTTCTGGGAGGTGCCCACTCTCTCTCAGGTGCTTAGAGTTCTGATGCTATGATTG